GGTCTCCTGGTTTTCCATCCCTTCAGGTTCACTGCCAAGTGTCAGGAATAGCTAGGTTCAGGGAGATAGGCATACCTGAGAGGCATCACCACACTCTTTTTACCCACCTCCCATCCCTACAGGAGATACTTCATCGATTCCGCGACCCTGAAGACCCACTTCCGATCCAAAGACCACAAGAAAAGGTATGAAGGAGTAAGGAGAGGACTGATGAACGTCTGGGCAGACAGGGCTTGCGTCGGGTCAGCTCCCAGCTCTCATTCTTCTTTCTCCCAGGCTAAAGCAGCTGAGCGTGGAGCCCTACAGTCAGGAAGAGGCCGAAAGGGCAGCGGGAATGGGCTCTTATATGACCCCCCAGCGACTGGCAGTGCCCACGGAAGTAGCCACTGAGGTCCCTGAGATGGACACAACTCCCTGACATGACCTGAGGATGCAAGTCAGGGGAGCTGCCCATGGACAGCGAGGCAAGGGCTAGGCTGGGAGAGACTGTGCCAACCTCTCTTGGCCCTGGGCTTGGGGAGTGGATGGCCTCACCCCCAATAAAGAAACTGGTTAGAGAAGATTTGCCTCTGACTCTAACCTCCAGGCCACTCCCCCCAGCTCCTGCCCTGGAGGGGGGGGGTGTTTCTGCTACTTTTGTTTACAGGGCCTAGGGTGTCTATTCCCTACTTGGTCCATCTTTGGAACCTACAGCCTTGCCTTCCCTCGGGGGTCATGCATCTGAGCTGGAGACCCAGAGTGGAACCCAGGTCAGTGAAGGGGAGAGGAAGGATCAGGTTTATACTGTCCTGCTCCTATGAGAGCAGGGACTGGCCCTCAGAAAAGAAATGGGCTCCCGAGATTGCAGCCCCTGCTGAGTCACCTCCCCCAGGACCCAGGTAAGAGGCCGCCTACTTTATCCTCAGGCCTGTGGCCGCCGCCGCTGCCCCACCATCTTCCAGACAGCATAGCAGGAGCCACCCAGTCCCAGGACAGCCAGCAGTGTAGCCACAACCCCAGCCAGCGGACTTCGGGGCTCAGCTTTCAGCTCCCCAGCTATCTGCATCTGGAGATACACAGAGGCTCCATCTGAGGGGTGGGTCAGTTGAGACTTCCGGGAAGGTAGAGGGTGGGAAGGAGCGGAGAAGGTACGGCTGGGTGAAGGAGATACGTGTGCCATTGCTGCCCCAGGGAGATTCCATCCCAATCCCTCTCGCTTCACTGCCCATCTGGGCCCTGGCTGCTCAGGCGGCAGGAAACGTGACAGCCTGGCTGCTGGGGGTGTCAGCCCAGCTATGGTAACGGAAAAGCGGGGGGTCGGTGGCCGAAGCCCTCAGCGAGAGGTACTTACCTGTAGTACCCGGAAGTAGCCCGGGGTCAGGCGTCGGAATCTCATGGTGGATGCCACTGGTCTCCCTGGCGGCCTATGAGGTGGAAGCAGGAATGAGGAGTAGTGGTGTTGGTGATACCCAGGAGCGGAAATCAGGGCATAGAGGTTTCTGACCTCCCATATGCATGAGAGCCATGCCTCAGAGGATGCTCACCAGTGTTTGCTCTCCCAGGTCTGGCAGGGGGCGGGGCAGCTAAACCTTTAAATCTGGTCCCTTCCCCCTCCTGCCCATCCTGCCAGCCTCAGGAACAGCTGTCAAGAGAGATCAGCATCAGGCCTGAGCAGCACCTCCCCCACTTGCCAGGGAGGCCAGGCTGGGTAGGCAGGAGAGGCCTTGCCTGGAAGCGCTCAGGAGTCTTAGACCTGGACCAGGTACTGGGAGGGTCTCCCCAGCCCTGGTTCCGGCTCTTTCCCTACCCCTCAGATGGTTGGATATCACCAGTCAGTCCTCAGCAAAGGAGGAACAGAGTGCCTTATTAACTTCCTATCCTCCCAAACATGGGTAGGCCTTTTCACTTGGTTTCTGTTGGATCAATGGCCCCTACCTTGGGGAGAGGCACATACCACTTCTTTCTCCAAGATGAAGACTTTCCTATTCTTGGCTTGAGGACAATAATAAAAGAAGATCAGTATATACTGATTAAGAAAGCTGTCCACGGTATGCTAAAAACCAGTGGCCAACCGTGTCAGGCAGTATTCTAAGCAGTGAACATATATTATTTTATTTGGTGTTGACTATCTCCTAAAATGAAAAAAAATAGCATGTGGCGTATCTGCCTATGTAGAGAATGGAAACTTTTACAGTGGTCCCCATTTGGGAATGGAAGAGAGAGAGAATGCCCTACTGTTAACCTTTGAATGTTTTACAGCAAATGTGTAGAAGTAACTCTTAAAAACTCATAAAACTACTACCATTTACTCTACGCTTACCTGCCAAGCCCTACCAGATACACAAAATAAAGGCAAGGTTGTGGGTGTGAGGCCCCCAAGCCTTTCAGGGGAGCAATTGAGTATGAGCGGTGAGTTCCTGTCTGTTTCTCCCCTGCAGGATTGCGTGCTCAGGGAGAGCAAGGGCTGGCTGGCTCAGGGAAGGTGTTTGACGAAATCAGGATGGTGGAGACTGGGTCTGTGTTTATTGGGATTCCCCAGAGTGCCACAGGAAGGCTGTTGAAGGAACAGGCAAAAGTGTGAAAGGGGGGTGCAGCATGGAGCAGTGATGGAGGGACACGTGCTGCACAGGGTGTAAGGAGGCATCAGGCAAAGGAGGAAGCCAGAGGTGAGGGCTGTGTTGCACATTTGGAGCCTCCTGGGTCACCAGTGAGGGAGCAAGGCCTGCAGGGACCTGCGGGGACCTTGAAAGATACAGCCAATAATCTGCATTCATGTTCGATGCCCCATGTGAAGGTGGGAAGGGGTCAGCAGAGCTGGCCAAGGTCCAGGGACCTGGATTTGTATGTGAAATTATTCAATGATGACAACTGAAACACACTATAAGAGCCATCCATAGGCCAAGTGCAGAATTTGGGTTTTAGGGCAAGATCATCACAGGCTTTGAAGGCATTGGGGCACTGGTAGGGATTCCAGAGTGACATAGAGGGCCAAGCCCCTCTCCACAAAATCAAAGCAATAATAACTCATGTATATCCTATGTGACAGATTTCAAAGTACTTTGAGCAAATCTTCACTGTGCTAAGGTATAGATGTCCCTGTTTTAGATGGGAAGAAACAGGTTCAGATAGGTATTGAGGTTAGTCTCAGTCACACAGCAGATGGAACTGATTCTGTCTGATTACGAAGTGGTCCGGGGAGTCTCCTGGCATGGGATGATGATGATGGTGGTGGTGGTGAGGATGGTGACAGTTCTAAACAGTATGTTTCAGACTTGTTCTAAGAGAAAGGGTCTTAACTGGGATTCAGAATTCAGGGGACCCATAAATTTGGATGGGAAAAAATGTTACATTTTTCACTAACCTATAACCAAAATTTACCATTTCCTTCTATATGGATTGACATATCAGTAGTATCTGTGTCTTTGTCACCTATTGAAATCACAGATATTTTCATATCAAAATACAGTTGTTCAACGGTCTCAACATTATATATGCTCACGACTATTTCAAAATCGTGATAGTTACTAGCCCACTACTAAATCACACTCTTTCAGACTCTCCTGCTATGTAGCCACCATTGTTTGGGCAGCTGTGGCCTAGCAGAGGATCTGTGACCAAATGGTGAATCTACCCGTTCTCGCGCTGGTGACCCAGGCTTCCCCATTATGCTCCTGCATTCCCTATGCTTAGTTGTTAACTGATAAATACGTGCAAAAAGGTGAATCAAAGACCACCCCACAGCTGAGCGTTCTTCTAGGTGAACAACATGCTGATATTGTTACAAAAGGAAAATTTAACAGTCTTATTTAATGCTAATAAACACATTACTATATCATAAATTTGTGGTGTGTTTTTTTAAAAGATTTTATTTATTTATTTATTTATTTGACAGAGATTACAAGTAGGCAGAGAAGCAGACCAGGGGTGGGGTGAAGCAGGCTCCCCACTGAGCAGAGAGCCGCACACGGGGCTCGATTCCAGGACCCTGAGACCATGACCTGAGCCAAAGGCAGAGGCCTTCACCCACTGAGCCACCCAGGCACCCCTAGGATTTTTATTTTTTTTAAGTAATCTCTACACCCAACGAACATGGGGCTCGAACTCACAACCCTGAGATGAAAAGTTAAACACTGTACTGACTGAGCCAGCCAAGCACCCCAATCATAAATTTGTGTCTAGTTTTGTTTTAAGATTGCATTTATTTGCCAGAGAGAGAGGGAGAGCACAAACGGGAGCAGCAGGCAGAGGGAGAAGCAGGCTCCCCACTGAGTAAGGAGCCTGATGCAGAATTGGATTCCAGGAACCTGGGATCATGACCTGAGTCAAAGGCAGACGCTTGACTGACTGAGCCACCCAGGTGTCCCATAAGTCTGTGTTTTAAATATATTTTGGTTATAATTCTCTTCCTTGTAAGCTTCAGCAATTTTTAAATGCTTCCAAAAGCACTATTCTGAGAAAGGGTCCGTAGCTTTCATCAGAGTGCCAGAAGGGTCTGTGTGCCAAAAAAGGGGGGAACTAAAAACCCCTATTCCAAAAAGTTTTAGAGCTCTTAACGCAGGTACTATGCACAGCAGCCCATTTTGCAGACCAGCTGAGGCTCGGCAGCTAAGAAGCTGCGGAGCTGACATTTGCAGTCGGGGCTCTGGCTCCCTAACCTCTGTGCTTTGCTGCTGCACTCCCTGCTCACCTTTCTTTTTCTTTTCTTTCTTTTTTTCTTTTTTGAGAAGCCTAAAGGTCAAAGGGCAGTTTGGGGCGGGATCCTTGGGTCTTACAGCAGGGACACCGCCTCGGGTCTGGCCGCGGAGTAGCCAGAGGACGCCTGGAGGGCGGGGTAGGAGGCGGGCCAGCGGCAGGCCAATGGCGGTCGCAGCGCCTCACCTGGAGGTTCAAGTTGGGCCCAGGTGTGCCGGTGACTCCGCCCCGCGCCCGGCCCAGGTCCCTCCCCAGGTCGGACTCCGCGGGCGGAAATTCCTGCGCGGGCGGGACCCGGCGGGAGCACATCCCAGCCGGCGGTCTCGGCCATGGAACCAGTGGCGACCTGGACCCCCGGGAAGGTGGCAGCTTGGCTGAGAGGTGGGCCTGGGCAGAATCGGGCTTGAGGGGCGCTTCGAGGGGAGAGGGAAAGGAAAAAGGGACGAACCAGGTCTGTCGGTTAGTCAACAAGTCATGTATAGACCGTCTGCCAGGTACCCGGTACTGTGCTAAGCAGAAGGATCGGCGGCATGACCCCGGGGACCCCGAGAACTGAGAAGTGGTCTCCCGGCGCCCCAACAACGCCGGTGGCGGCCAGGGTGGCGGCGGGGAGGCGGAGGTGGTGTCAGGAAAACAGAGAGGCGGCCCCAGCGCGCCCCCGCCCACTCAATCTCCTTTATCTTCCCTCAGCCCCAGGGCTCAGTGGGCTGTTCTTAAACCCATTTTTCAGAAGCGGAAACTGACGCACTGAGCCAGGAAGTGATTTCCTTGGGCTTTGGAATAGGCCCGGTCCTCCTGTCTTTTCCTTTGTCCCCACCTTGAGGTTCCCAGTGAAAGAAACAAGGCCCAGCCAGACCGAAGGGGTTGTTGGCACAGCCCCACCCTGGGGGCCGACGGGGAGGACATGCTGGCCAGCGTCAGTGAGCCCCAATGGGTGGGAAACGGCCCAGACTGCAGTTAGGAGAGGGGAGGGGAGGGGAGTCCTGACAGCCTTCCTGGGAGGGAAGCTCCCAACGGAGTGGAGGGGAACGGAGGACGCTGCTGGCAGGCTCAGGGCTCAGAGCGACCAGCCCTTGAAAAGCAGGAATTCAGGCCTGGAGTCAGACTCCAGGCCCCTCCCCTCTGCTCACCAGCTCTGCGACCAGAGGTCTCAGTTTCTCCATCCCTAAGATGAGAGAGTCTGCAACTATCTCATGAGGTAGACAAAATGAGACAATCATGGCAGGAGCCTAGCCTGTGTGGCTCAGTGTAGGAGACTTTGGGGAGGAAGGCAGAGCAGCAGGGTCACTGCACAGGGCAGAGGGGCTGTCCAGGGGCTGTATACCTGGAGTCACAGGTGTGGGAACTCGCAGTCCAGTGTTCTTAATGTCACCCGGGGAATGAAGGAGAAATATTAATGACACACTCCCTGGCGATGGAGCCTGACTTGGAATGGAAGGAATTCCTTCAAAGGGTGAGCAAGCTACTTACTCCTTTTTTTTTTTTTTTAAGATTTTATTTATTTATTTGACAGAGATCACAAGTAGGCAGAGAGGCAGGCAGAGAGAGGAAGGGAAGCAGGTTCCCTGCTGAGCAGAGAGCCCGATGCACGGCTCCATCCCAGGACCCTGGGATCGTGACCTGAGCCGAAGGCAGAGGCTTTAAACCACTGAGCCACCCAGGCGCCCCGCTACTTACTCTTTGTATCAGTTTGCCCACCTGTAAAGTGGGGATGACAGTAGTCATCACCTTCTACACTCAGTGAGCACCAAATGTGTTAACATGTAGATCGCCCTTGAAATTTTGCCTAGCCCATGATAAGCTTTTAATAGATACTATTCCTATTTTTGGTTTGCCTTGTCTACCCTGTGCCAGGCATGGGCTAGAGTTCAAGATGAACAGTTATTTATGGCCCAGAACTTGAGGGGCAGTGGGAGCAGGAGAGCCCCGGACCCACCCTGGGGAGTTATGGAAGGCTTCCTGGAGGGAGTTGTATTAAAAAGTCGGGTAGAGTAGCTAGAACCACCCAGGCAGAAGAAATAGCACATATGTAGACCCTGAGGCAAAAGAGCATTCCAGGAGCCCCAGGGAGTTCGTGCTCTGGATCTGAAGTGTTGAGTTCGAGGGTCTGTGCCAGGGGGTGAGACTGGAGAGGCAGGTGGCGGCCTGCTCATACAAGGCCTTGTAGGTCAGGGGAAAGAGTCTGCTAATGATATAATGGGAGATGTCACTGCCGTGATTCAGGGAATGGGCCAACCACTTGACATGCATCCTGTCATTCGGTACCCACTGGATCAGAAAATAAGTGCTTATATTACTGCCATTTCCCAGCTGAGGCACAGAGCAGTTATGTTACTCGCTCAGTAGTCTCATCTGTTTTTTATATTACTGCCATTTTATATTATATTACTTATAAGTATATTATATTATATTACTGCCATTTCCCAGCTTATATTACTGCTTATATTACTGCCATTTCCCAGCTGAGGCACAGAGCAGTTATGTTACTCGCTCAGTAGTCTCATCTGTGAAATGGGCAGAACCCAGCCTGGGTCCCAGGATTGTGGTTAGGAACAGATGGGAGAGAAAGGGACTTTGTGGGAGTGAGGAAAAGGCCTGAGAGGCCATGGCAGCCCTGTCCTCCCTCCAGGCCTCGATGACTCCCTGCAGGATTACTGCTTTGAGGACTGGGAGCTGCCCGGGAAGTACCTGCTCCAGCTCTGTCCCCGCAGCCTTGAGGCCCTGACTGTGTGGCCTCTCGGCCACCAGGAGCTCATCCTAGAAGGGGTGGAACAGCTCCGGGCCCTGGTGAGTGAATGAATGGTGGCCACGCTGGCCGAGAATGGGGGGCTGGCCACTGCCAGGAGATAACCTGCCTTTTTTCTGGCTCAGAGCTCTGGGCTACAGACGGAGAACCTTCAGAGCCTGACAGAGGGGCTGCTCCAGAGGACCTATGCTTTCCAGAGCTTAGTCCAGGGCCACCTGGAAGGCTGTGCCAAGCCCCCTGCTGATGTCCTCAGTGCAGCCGTGGAGCTGGTGCATGAGGCCCGTACCCTCCTTTTCTGGCTCAACAGGTACCTAAAACCCTACTGGGGAGGGGACCCTTCTCATCCTTGACTCCTCTGCGGCCTGGGAGAGAATAGAGCTAGGCTGTTGTTCAGATGTTGTGGAGACGGGCAAAGAGGTTATTTGGTCCGTGCAGAGGCACTGGGGCGCCTGGGTTCCCATCCACCCCGCAGCTCGTAATCATAACTGTCCCGACACTGCATGGAGAGCTTCTCCACTCCCTTCAGCCGCTGCTGCTGGTCCCACAGATGCCAGCTCAAATGTCACTCCTCTGGGAAGCCTTCCTGTTGTAGGTTCTCAGAGCTCCCTACATCTCACAGCGCCTGGAGTTACATCATTATTGATGTAATCATGTGTGTAAGGTCTCTCCCTAGTGCTTGGAATAGGGCCTGGCACATCCTGGGTGCTTGACAGATGAGTCCTGTGCTAAGTTTTAAGCTCTGTCGATGTATTAGTTCTCTCCTTTACCCCAAGCAAAACCCATCAGAGCAGATATCCCCCCCCACCCCCACCTCCCGTGTGGCAGACCAGTAGTTGCCTATGAGTGGTTCCATGACTGACTGGTCATCACAGCCCCCTAACCACTGCCCTTACCATCCTTACCCCTGCCAGGTACCTCTTCTCCCACTTAAATGACTTCTCAGCCTGCCAGAAGATTGGGGAGTTGTGCGGGGAGCTGGGCCAGGCCTTGCAGGAGGTAGGAATACCAAAGGCCAGGCTTGGCCCAGGCCGTAACAGACCAAGTCAGGCTAGAGCTTTTTATAACCTGTGAATCAGCACAGGATCGCATGTGGGGGTTGGGAAGAGACAGGGGCAGGAAGAAAGGAGGCCTGGCCACTGGGTAGGGGGCGATGGGGGCGTGGGGTCTTCTAGCTGGCAGGGGCGGCTCAGAAAGTTTGGCTCTGGGGATGGGGGTGGAGTGGGGAGGGTATGTATGGTGATTTCTGGGGCTTGGCATCAGCTGAACCGAGACTCTGGAGCCAAAGCTCTGAGGCCTTGTCATTCTAGGAGGAGACCAGCATTCAGGTCACAGGGAGGGACCACTGGGAAGCCCACCCTGCCCTCGGGCAAAGGCAGTGCTCCTGCCTCAGGGAAGGCTGTTGCCCTCTCTGCTTCCAGGACAGTCCGGCGGCCGAGAGGGAGAGCAAAGTCCTGAGGATTGTGAGTGTGGCTTCAGTTGAGTGGGGGGATTGGGGTGGTGGTGGGATGGGACTCAAGGCTCAGCCTCCCATGCCCCCTCCCCCAGTGCAGCCACGTGGCTGGGATCTGCCACCACATCCTGCGCTGCAGCCCCCAGGAGCTGCTGGAGCAGAGGGCCCTGCTGGAGCGCGTGCAGCTGGACGACCCTTTGGTGAGCGCTGACCTCTCAGCAGCCTTGTCTGGGCCCTGAAATATGGTTCTAGAAGCCCCCGGAATGCTGTACTGTTAACGGCTGGGGTCTTAGGTCATTAAGTACTTTCTCCAGTCCTGGGGGGCTTTAGCTGATGTGGTCTCAGGGGACACATTCCAGCCCTAGGACACAGATGTGGCAGGTTAGGAGACTGGGGAAAGGACACGGACTTAGTTGCTTTAAGCTTCAACTGGTTGAAAACACCAGAGCCCCCAGCCCTACTGATCCCTTCAGGAGGGCGGCTGAGGATCTGAGACCTCATTAGTCAGCAAGCCCGGCCTCCTCCTGGCCCTTATTAGAGGAGGCGGCAGGGGCCCAGAGAGGAGTGACAGGCCCAGAGTCACACAGCAAGTTGGGCAGCACCTACCTGGAGCCAGCTGTCCCCCCAGTTCCACCCACAGAATAATACTGGCCCCCCTAGCACTCAGTGACTACAGCCTCTGCTTGGGCAGGGCCTGGAAATCCACACCACCGGTAACTGCCTGCACTTCGTGTCCCGTGTGGGCCCCCAGGTGAGAATCCTACGCCCTTCTCAGTTGCCCGCCCCAAGGCCCTACTCTCCAGTTGAGCCCGCTTCAGGCCTGTGGAGAGTGAACCCCATAAGCCCCACCCCACATACCAGGTCGCTGCTGACTCCCGGCTGCAGATCCTGCCTGGAGACGAGATTGTCCAGGTCAATGAGCAGGTGGTGGTGAGTGAGGAGGAAAGGGATGTGGCTGTTCGTGGTGGAGGGGAGGTGAGGGGGTGGGGTGGGGTGGGGTGGGGGGGCGGTGAAGGGGCTGCTGAGAAAACCCAGGGCTAGTGGGGGGTGGGGGGGCTTCATGCAGTCCCTGTGGACACCAGGCTTGTGGGAGCTGCTGCCTGTGAGATGAGCCAGAGTGGCCTTGGCAGGGCCAAGGTGAAGGGGCTGGAGGAGGAGTGGCAGGAGGCTGAGGGCTAGGGTGGGGGCTGTTGGCTTACTCCAGAGCCTCCTGGGCCTCTGCCTCAGCCCAGGGTCCCTGCCCTGCCCCTTTCCGTGTCCAGGTGGGCTGGCCCCATAAGAACGTGCTGAGGGAGCTGCTGCGGGAGCCGGCCGGGGTCAGCTTGGTGCTGAAGAAGGTCCCCATGCCAAAGACCCCTCCTCAGGTACCAGTCCCCCAGCCCTGCTCCCATCCCGCTTTCAGACCCCTGTCAGCAGCTCTGTCACCATTTCTGGTTGTTCCCCAGACCCCTCCTCAGACCCCGGGCTCCGCACCACTGTCGAGTCCCCTGCTGGCTTTCACCCCACTGTCTGCCAGGTATCAGGCTCTGCCGCTGGTGGGTCTGGGCAGGGGTGCCACGGGCTCACTCACCTCATCTCCCCTTGCTCTCCCCAGGGCCCCATCCGAAGACATCTTTGCCTTTGACCTGACTTCAGACCCAAGTCCTGCACCCAGCCCTACCTGGACAGGTAGTTGCAAAGTCCCAGCAGGTGGCAGATGTCCCCGGCAGGGCTTGTGGGATGCCTGGCTCTGACCCTGCTCCCCCCACCGACTCTGAGATCCTCACCCCGCTGCCCAGCCTGGAGCTGGGCTCATGGACCCTCCTCTCTCCTCTTTCCTGACAGACTCTCCCTCCCTTGACCTTGAGTCCCGGCCTGTTCACCCTGCACCTCTAGCCACACACCCAACAGGGGTAGCAGAGACTCAGGAAGCCCCAGAACAGCCTGACACGGTAAGGGGAGAGCTCCTCAGGGAGGGGTGTGTGGCTCTGGGCCCAGACCCTTCTCTAACCACTTAGGGCCTTTTCAGAGTCCTGTTTCTGGTCGGAAGAAATCAAAAGGTAAGAGACGTACTTGACTGGCTGAGGGTCCCCTGACAGGAGCTCTTCAAAGTCTTTCCAGTGTTTGGCAAGATGCAACACCCACCCCTGCCCATTGCACACACAGCATCTCCTCAGCAGCCTGGGCCTCTCACCAGCTCTGTGACTTTGGGCTATGGGCTCCTCCTCTGATCTTCCATTTCCTTGTCTCTCAAATGGGAAGAGTCAGCCCTACCTCAGGGAGAGACCTGTAACACTTCAAGCACAGTGCGGGTTCAGAAAGATCAGCTGGGAATGCTGGTGCGGGGGATGGGGGGCAGTTGGGGGTGTCTGGGGTGCCTTGCCAGCCCGATCACCTGGGCCGGGCCGTGCTCCTGCAGGCGTGGCGACACGGCTGAGTCGCCGGCGGGTGTCATGCCGGGAGCTGGGCCAGCCCGACTGCGACGGCTGGCTTCTGCTGCGCAAGGTGCCGGGTGGTTTCATGGGCCCTCGCTGGCGCCGCTGCTGGTTTGTGCTCAAGAGACACACGCTCTACTGGTACCGCCAGCCCCAGGTGAGCCCCCCCGCCCCATGCACGGGTCAGGGCGGGAGTCAGAGCCATGGTCCTTGTCCTTATTCCTCCAGCCCCTCCATCTGTGGCCACAGGCAGGCCGCAGATCACCCCTCCACCCAGGCCCTATCTGTAAAATGAGATTGCTCTTTGGAGAGAAATGAACAGATACATGTGTGAAAGCAGGCAGAGAAAGGCATCATGGGCAGCATAGAGAGTCCTGTTCGCTCTGCCCACCTTTCTTTCCTCTTCTGTTCCTCCGTCTGTCCCGTTTATTCACTCCTTGAGCATTCCAGTGCCTGCTGAGTCCCCCACTCTGGGCCTCATACTAGGGATGTAGGGCAGACAGGGACAGTCCCTGCTACTCCGGGCTGGCAGGTGGGGGATACAGGCACACTCAAGGACAGTTCGGGGAACGCATGCTCTGATGAAAAAAAGCTCAGGAATGGGTAGGAGCCCAGTGGCGGTGTCCAGTCCGGCCTCAAGAGCTGAGAAGTCCCCCTGAGAAATCAATGCCTGGGGGTCATTCAGATGGAAAGGAAAAAATAAACCAGGAAGGGAGAAGAGCGTTTGCAAAGCTCATCTAAGAACAAATGCATAAGCGGTCTTCTTCCTTGTGGCTGTTTTCCTAGCTGCCTTTGGCTCCCCTTTCCCGGCTTAAGAGCCCCACCTTGGTCGTGTCCCCTGCCCCCACCCCAGATTCCTGCCCTGAGCTCTAGGCACTGGGAGATTTGTGGTTGGAGAGCCCAGGAACCACTCTCTCCTCTCCCTGCCCCCAGAGCCTGACTGGGCCTCCAGGGTAATGGGACTGCAGGCTGACCCTCACTCTGTGATTCCCCCCAGGATGAGAAGGCTGAGGGCCTCATCAATGTTTCCAACTACAGTCTGGAAAGTGGACAGGATCAGAAGAAAAAATAGTTAAGTCCTGGAGTGTGACACATGGGGGGCTGGGGCAAGAAAGGGAGAGGAGGAGGAGAAGGTGGTGGGGGGCAGCAGGTAGGTGGGATTCCTGGGGCAGCCTCATGGGTTCTGGATGAGCACCACCAGGCTGATTGAGGCCCCCCATGCCACCTGGCAGTGTGTTCCAGCTCACGCATGACGTGTACAAACCCTTCATTTTTGCTGCTGATACCCTGGAGGACCTGAGCATGTGAGTGCCACCTCCCCCTTACACCCCCTCTCCCACATGAGGGCTTGCGAGCCTGGCTCAGGAACCTGGATCCCGAGCCCCACTGTTTGATAGTGGCTGGTCAGGGCACTCACTTCTCCAAGCCTCAGTTTCCTCATCTATAAAAACGGGTTAATAAGAGTTCCTACCTCTCAGAGGTGCTCTGCGGATGAAGGTAGAAGATGATAAAGGTGAAAATCCCCTGGCATGTGGTAGATGAAAACTCCAAGACCTGTTTGCCCCCCCCCCCCCCCAAATAGGTGGGTACGCCATCTCATTACCTGCATTTCCAAGTACCAGTCTCCAGGCCGGGCCTCCCTGCCCCGAGAGGAAGGTGGGTATCTCACAGGGGTGGGTCCCACCAGGTGGGTCTCAATTGAGCCTCTGTCTCTCCTAGAATGGGGGCTGGAAACTCCAGTGCCCTAGCCTACTCCCTGGCCTCCCCAAACCCTGTGGGCTTAGGGGGCTCCCTCTCTGCTCCTGTTACCCCCAGACTGCTACAGTGAGACAGAAGCAGAAGACCCTGACGATGAGGCTGGGTCCCGCTCAGCCTCGGTGAGTAGGAGACTGGTGGGGAGCGGAAAGCAGACCATAGGGCTCGGAGTGACACCCACCTCTCCGTATACCCTGCCCACAGCCCAGCCCAGCCCAAATGTGGAGTCCGCTCCATGGAGACACATCACCTGCAGCCACCCCCACCCAGGGCAGCCCACAGACTTCCTTTGGCCCACCATCAGGTGTTGCGCTGGGGTTCGGAGCTGAGCTGGAGGGTGGGGGAAGCTGGGATGGGCACATCCTCATCTGCTTCCCCCTCCCACAGACAGCAGCGAAGGGGTGCTGGAGGGAATGGTGCAGGGGCTGAGGCAGGGGGGCGTGTCCCTCCTGGGCCAGCTGCAGCCCTTCACTCACGAACAGTGGCGGAGCTCTTTCATGAGGCGCAACCGAGACCCCCAGCTCAATGAGCGAGTGCACCGCGTGCGTGCGCTGCAGAGCACGCTCAAGGTCAGCTAGAGGGCACTGGGCATGGGGAGGGACTGGGCTTTCTGTTCTGGTTCCTGGCCTTGAGCGCTGGGCTCAGCTGCGGACTGGGCCAAGTTCTAGGTTCCCGGAGCCAGCCTCTCAATGTGAGGTTCGGGGCTAGGCCGAGCCAGGTGCTGGGTTCTAAACCTGGACTCCAGAGTGAGCTCTGGACTTGGACTCTGACCCCTCTCCCCACGTGATCATGGCCCCTTAACCCCCCACTCTCTTCACAGGCAAAGCTGCAGGAGCTGCAGGCCTTGGAGGAAGTGCTCGGTGACCCGGAGCTGACAGGAGAGAAGTTCCGGCAGTGGAAGGAGCAGAACCAAGAGCTCTACTCAGAGGGCCTGGGAGGCTGGGGAGTGGTGCCGTCTGAGGGCCACTCCCAAGTCCCCAGCTCTGACTCCAGAGAACAGTCTTCCCACCCCTTGGCCTCTGACCCTGAGGAGCAGTCCCATCTCTGCCCCCTGACCCCAGAGAGCAACCTCCGACCTCCTGACCTCTGACCTTGGTCCATACCCTGGCTCCTGACCTCTGGCCTTGAGGACCACCTCAGCCCCCAAGTCCTGACGCGTCCAGGACAGAGCATCCCCGGGTTCTGTTCAAGGTTGGAAGTAGTCCGTGTGTCACCCCCAGAGGCCCCCCCTTTGCCCACGTGTCCACCATTTCTGCTCCTCTCTCCCTTGGAGTGGGTCGAAGCGAAGTGCACTCCATGCCATCCTCTCTTTTGCCAATGAAGAAGTGGCAAGCTGGGCTGAAATTCTCTCCCCCTTCATCCTCCCACTTGTGGGGCACAAACCTGTCCCCCTCCATCTCTGGCCCTTCTCCCTTCCCCAAACCAGTCTTGTATAGGTGCTCATTTTACACAAACACTTTCAACAAAATAAAATCAGTTTAGGGGCGCCTGGGTGGCTCGGTGGGTTGGGCCGCTGCCTTTGGCTCGGGTCATGATCTCAGGGTCCTGGGATTGAGTCCCGCATCGGGCTCTCTGCTCAGCAGGGAGCCTGCTTCCCTCTCTCTCTCTCTCTCTCTCTCTGCCTGCCTCTCCATCTACTTGTGATCTCTCTCTGTCAAATAAATAAATAAAAATCTTTAAAAAAAATAAAATAAATAAATAAAAATAAAATCAGTTTATTTAAAATGAATCTACGTGTGCCTTTGACTGCATATTAGAACCCCGAATCTGCTCCTGGAGGGGACAAGGATGGAAAGTATCAGGAGGACATGAATGTAACTAGTCTTGGTAACTAGTTAGTCTTGGTAGCTAGTAGTTGGTTGGGAACTAACTCAGTAACTAGATCATCTTGGTAACTAGGCCACCATGTGTGCAGACCAGCGGCCTGGGCCGTGTAGCTGAAGTCTGTACCTGTCAGGATGCTGAGTTGTTGATCCATGACGAGTGAGCGCTTCCACATAAGCATCTCTCCAAGCGCTTTGGAGATCAGGGCTGCTCTCCTGCCCCATCCTCAGTGGGGGCATGAACAGCAACAGACGGGCCTTTTACTCTAGATGGAGAAGCACACCTTGCATGGAAGGACAGGGTGAGCAGCCCTGGGGACTGGGGTCATGGATGGCATAGCTGGTGGGAAGGGGTACAGTTTGAGGTCAGCTGGGAGGAGGGCCTCCGGGCTTCTCTTCTCTCCTCTCTTCTCTCCTCCCAGTCTCACCTCCAGCTCCTGGACCTGAAGAAGAAGGGACAAGCCCCTGTGTCTCCATCCAAGCTGCACAAGAGATCTGACCTTCTCCCATCAGCCTCTGACCTCTGACCGCAGCCCAGCCCCTTGGTGTCCCTGGCTTCCTCCGTGGAGTACCGAGGGCAGTCAGTGGGAGGAGCTTTTCTCGGTATCAGAATTCCTTGGTGGAATGCAGACAGCTGGAGGTCACAGAGTCCTTTATGATATCACCACGAGGGGGAGCAAGACCACTTGGAAAGAAGTTTCTTTGACGGGTGGGAGGAGACTGAGCAGCAATGATAGGTAACCAAGACAACTGGTGGCAGCAGTGGACCGATACCAATATTAAACCTTTGACTGTCCTGGTAGGTGACCCCTTCCTCGGTCTACCCCAGTTGGGCATGCCAGGGAGGGGCAGGGCGCAGGGGCATCGCCCTGGGTCCCAGGGGCCACAACTGCACTGATGGTCCCTCTGCTCAACCTTGCAGAGGGCCCCTGATGAGCCCTACGCCCGGCCGGAGGAGCAAGTCCTCATCAACCGCCAGGACATCATGAGCACCAAGGTAAGGAGGAGGCTGGGGCGGCAGCCTGCAGCATCTCCCCCGCCCCCACAGTCAGCCTTGTGCTGCTGCACCCCAGGGACCACAGGCTGCCATCTTAACTCTGCCCCTTCTAGTTTCTAAACATCCCCCCGAGGATACTCCCGGTGGCCCCTGCAGTGACCCCCTCATGGCATGTTAGTACCCACCTGGCAGTGCTCCCCATGGGAACCCCGTATAATGACAGTCACTTACCAGCTGAGCGCTCAAAGGTCTCCCTTGCAATGACTCCCACAAAGATTCCCCAGCAGTCACCCCCTTTCAATGGCCATTTAGGTAGTGATCCCCTACATCGATGCCCCCATTTCAAGACCCCTCTCAGGCAGCTTCTCCCCCTAGAGCGGCCCTCATCCAGGGGCCCCCATTCACTGAGAACAAATGTCCAGGCCAAGGCCTCCCATGTGACGCCTGCCTGAAGGAAGGTCCCCCGCCTTCTCCCAGGATGCCTGGGACATCCAGGAGTTCATCACTCGAATGTATATCCAGCAGCTGCTTCGACACCCCGCCTTCCAGCTGCTGCTGGCCTTCCTGCTGGTGGTCAACGCCATCACCATTGCTCTGCGCACCAACTCCTTCCTTGGCCAGGTGGGACTCCAGCCCGACCTCTGCCCCCACTGATCTAACAGGGGGCCTGGGCAAGCCACTTTCCTCTCTGGGCCTCAGGCCCCTCACCTGTTCGTGACGATTGCATTGAATGTTCTTCAGGGCCCTGCCAGCTCTGACCTTCTAGGAAATTAGAGATCAAGGAGGACTTCGTGGTGGAGGGGGCCCAGACTTGTTGTAGAGAGGGAGGGAGAAAAATAGTGTGACCAGAGGCAGACAAATGGGTGCCTGGTGGGGGAGGGTATTCCAATTTAATCAAAAGTCACTATGAGAAGTTCTAGGTATGATCACAGCAGACTGAATGCTGTCTCAGACACAAGCATGTCATTATGGATACCTGAGTGTCACGGAGTATGTGGAAGTTCCAAGTAGGCATCAAACCTGCCTAATCTGTACAGTTAGGGAAAGCTTCTTGGGGAAAAGAATGCTTCAGATGGGAAGAAGGAGTAAGTAGGAGTCATCCAGACAGAGAGAGGTGGGAAAGAGTGTTTAGGGATGGAAGAAAGATCTTGTGAGCAAGTTCTGTATGTCCATCTTGAAGTCCAGTATGCTTTTGGTCTTATCCTTGATGTATTTTTTTTAAAGATTTTATTTATTTATTTGACAGAGATCACAAGTAGGCAGAGAGGCAGGTAGGGTGGTAGGGGAAGCAGGCTCCCTGCTGAGCAGAGAGCCGGATGCAGGGCTCATTCCCAGGACCCTGAGATCATGACCTGAGCTGAAGGCAGAGGCTTAACCCTTGAGCCACCCCGGCACCCCTATCCTTGATGTTTTAATTTCCTACAAGGAATATGCTACATATATGAACTGCGCCATTTGAAATCCGTATTGTGAAAGTGTCCAGTGCCATGGCTGATGATTTCAGAGAAGTGGTCAGCAGCCAGCTGTTGGAGTGTCTCTAAGTTATCTTAAGGAGGCTGGCCTCTATCCTACATCATTGGAAAGCCAAGGAATGGTTTAAAGCATGGAAGTAATCATGATTTAAACACATGACCAGACATGTGTTTTAGAAAACTTACACTTGCTCCCACAGGGTGAACCACAGAATGGAGGGAGCTGGAAATGGGAAAAGATGGACCAGGCAGACTGTGTTGTGTTCAGTGAAAGGTGGTGGGACTTGGACTTGGGCAAGGGCCATGGGTAAAAGAGGTCATGTGTCTAAAGCTCTGTAGGAGTCAGATCCAATGACCTTCCTGACTGGTTGGTTCGTTCGTTCTTTCTTTCTTTCTTCCTTTCTTTCTTCTTTCTCTTTCTTTCTTTCTTTCTTTCTTTCTTTCTTTCTTTCTTTCTTTCTTTCTTTCCTCTTAAGATTTATTTTCTTGAGAGAGAGACAGAACAAGCAGGGGAAGGGGGCAGAGAGAGAGGGGGAGAGACTCTCCACTGAGTGGGAAGCCTGATGTGGGGCTTGATCCCAGGACTTCAAGATCATGCCCTGAGCCGAAATCAAGAGTCAGAGGCTTAGCCAACTGAGCCGCCCAGGCGCCCCCAGTCACTATTCTTTCCAACAAACAGTAAGCTCTTAATATGTGTACACTGTTTAACATACCTTATCCTCTCACACAAGTAGAGAAAGGGAGAGCAAGGACTTACATTTCTGGCTTGAGCAACTGTGTGGGGACGGTGCTGATTTTTGGGGTGTGGGGGACACAGAGCTGTAAGCAGGTGTGGGGAGGATGCTGAGGTCAGATTGAGTTGAGTGGTGTGGTGGTTGGAGATGCCAGGGCAATATCCACACAGAGATGTCTAGGGAGAGATTGGAGGTCAACTCTGAACCAAGAGATCGGGGATAGAGATGGCATCGTGAGGGTTGACAGCATCTGGGTACGTGGTGGCCAGAAGCTAAAGGAGGAGATGAGGCCACCTGAGGAGAGAGTGTCCAGTGAGAAGGGAAGCACCCCAGGACAGAGCTCTGAGGAGAGCCTTCCAGTGAGGACAGAGAATGGTGGTGGCCAAATGAAAGGAGAATAAGGAGGGGTGGGCAGAGGAGTGGGAACACCCGGGAGAATGGGCTGTCGGGGAGGGTGGGGTGCAGGGCCAGAGAAGGTGAGAGAGGAGACCAGAGAAGGATCATGGAGCATCCCTTGGGTTTAGTTCTTGTGGTCTTGACAAGAATGGCCTCTGGTGTGGTGGAGGCAGAAACCCAGCAGCCAAAATGGCAGCTTCTACCCCTCACGGATCGCGAGATCGGTCCAGACTGCAGACACCAGCCTTCTGAGATAGAATGAAGCCAAATGAAAAAGAAGGAAATAAAAGTTGTATGTGGGGGCGGGGGGGGGGGCAGGAGGAAGAGAGGGTACTCTGCTGCAAAATACAAAGCACATCCATCTTCCCATGGGTCCTGGTCAAAAATGCTGATATGTGTCTATGAAGGTAAAATCCTAGAGGCCTGTGAATGTCAGACTGGTTTTGACCTGGTTCAGACCCTGTAGGCCATCGGGAGCCATGGCAGGCTTGTGGGCAGAGGAAGCAAACTCTAGAATCTCATGACTTGGAGAAGGCAGGAGGCCTACTCAGGTAGGTCGCGTGGTAAACAGTGAGGAGAGCTGTTGTCTCCCAGGGCCAGCGGGATGGAGCTGAGGGGACAGATGATGGGAAAGAAAGTTCTTCCTTGTTGTAAACAGACATCCCTGGCCTGTGATGCCCTTTGGGAATGTGGAACAGGTAGAAGGCTCATAACCTTAACCTCCCATCTGGGTTTAAGGAGCTCTGCTCAGCCTCTCATGAACCAGTGGACATGGGTGATGGTAAGGTGGGGGAACCAGGAGGCCTCTGTGTGTGGCAGTGAGCTTTGAGGCACTGAGTCTTGACCATGGAAGTGAAGGAAGGGAAGAGTCTTTACAAGAATTTTGGTAACTGCCAGGGTGGAATCAGAGGTTCTAGGAACTGTTAGTGGGGTCACAAACTATACTTGGGTCAGTATAGTATGAGAGATTGGGGGGAAAAGTGAGTTGGATTTCAAAAAGAATTCAAGGTCATCAAGTCATCCATCCATCCATCCATCAGTAGGCCCAGGGAACTGGACCCATGAGTATGGGGGATACACAGGAGTTTGGCCAGACTTTGCCTGGGGAATTTGGGAGCTGGAGAAGCAGGAGTGGCTGGGACAACCAGAGAAAGAAGGATGAGGCTTGTATCTGCCATCATGGGGGCAGGGCCTTTCTTCCCAGTCCTGGGGCCTGTTCTACCTCTCCCAAACCCCTCTTTCTTGTGCGTCCCTACTCTAGAGGTTAGGAGGGAAAGTTTATAGCCAGACAACAGTCTTTCTTGCTAACTATCTGACCTTGGGCACCTCTCTGATTCCTACTCTGTGAGAAGAGGAGCATCACCCCCTCCTACAAAGTAGGAGGGGGTGATGCTAACATGAACGGCACATGTACATGGAAAATGTGCTCTAAAGGGAGCCGCAAGGATATTGAGGATGAAAAGCAGCAGGAATACAGGCCTTCCTTCCCCCGTGGATGCCCGCTCTCTCTGGCCTCCCCCAGGCTCTGCTCCACTGACCTCTCGGCCCCTCTCTTTTTCTCTGTCTTCCATATAGAAACACTATGAGTTGTTCTCTACCATAGATGACATTGTGCTGACCATCCTCATCTGTGAGGTTCTCCTTGGCTGGTTAAATGGCTTCTGGATTTTCTGGAAGGTAAGATCCTGGGCCCTCCTTGCCCTTGCCCCAGCTCCTCCTTAGGGACTGTACCCCAACCCTGTGCTTCTGCCCCAACAAGCTGAGAATACGTGCGCGCGCGCGTGCATGCATGCATGTGTGTGTGTGTGTCAGTGATGTGGAGAAAGAGACTATTTCTGAGATGTCTGTCTGAGATGCAGCAGGAAATAATTTGTCCTAGAAGTGCAGCCTCCCTGGGTTCCAGTCCCTGGATTAGCCTTCCCCAGTTCTGTGATCTTGGGAAAATCTTGCTTTCCTTACCTGAGAAATGGGTTTGAGAGTCTCCACCTTAATTTACAAGGTTCAAGAGCAGAGGTCGGCAGACTTTCTGCAAAGGGCCGGGTAAGTATCTTAAACTCTGTGGGCCGTACAGGACCTGTGACAGACACTCACCTCTTCCTGGAGCACAAATGCCCTGTAAACATGCCAGACAAGCTGACCATGGCCGTGTTCTCAGGAAGCTTTATTCACAGACACTGAAATTTGAACTTCATATAATTTTCACATGTCACAAAGTACCGTTCTTTTGATTTTGCCCCCTAACCATTTAAAAATATAAAAACCATTCTTAGCCTGAGGGTCTTACAAAAAATGGGCTGCTGGCCAGATTTGACCCAGAGGCTGTAGCTTGCTGACCCCTGTTCGGGAGAGTGTCAGAGCTGTCTGGGTGGGAACAGGTCTCAATGTTACATTAAGTGAGACGAGGACTCAAGCTTCACTAGGATCGAGCTGGGATCGAGCCCCACTGCCTGCCTCTCTGCCTACTTGTGATCTCTGTCTGTCAAATAAATAAATAAAATCTTTTTTTTTTAAGATTTTATTTATTTATTTGACAGAGAGATCACAAGTGGGCAGAGAGGCAGGCAGGGAGAGAGGGGGAAGCAGGCTCCCTGCTGAGCAGAGAACCCGATGCGGGGCTCGATCCCAGGACTCTGAGATCATGACCCGAGCCGAAGGCAGAGGCCCAACCCCTGAGCCACCCAGGCACCCCTAAATAAATAAAATCTTAAAAAAAAAAAAAAAAACCAAAAACCTATCAAGGAGCACCTGTTTGGCTTAGTCAGTAGCGTCTGACTTCAGCTCAGGCCATGATCATCCCAGGGTCCTGGGATCAAGCCCTGAGTCGGGCTCCCTGCTCAGGGGGAGCCTGCTTCTCCCTCTCCCTCTGCTGCTCCCCACCACTCACATGCTCTCTTACTATCTGCCCCTCTCTCAAATAAATAAATAAAATCTTAAAAAGAAAAAAAAAAACAATCAGGGGCCTCAGTTGGTGGAGCGTGCAACTCTTAATCTCAGGGTTGTGAGTTCAAGCCCAATGTTGGATATAGAGATTACTTAAAAATAAAATCTTTAGGGGTGACTGGGAGGCTCGGTTGGTTGAGCATCTTGATTTGATTGAACCCAAATCCTCTTGGTTTCAGGTCAGGTCATGATCCCAGGGTCCTGAGATGGAGTCCTATATCAGCTCCCTGCTCAGTGGGGAGTCTGGAGATTCTCTCCCTCCGCTCCTTCCTCCATGTGTGTTCGCACACGCGTGCTTTCTCTCTCTTAGATAAATACATCTTTTTATTTATGTATTTTTTTAAAAGATTTTATTTATTTATTTGACAGAAATCACAAGTAGGCAGAGAGGCAGGCAGAGAGAGAGGAAGGGAAGCAGGCTCCCTGCTGAGCAGAGAGCCTGATGCGGGGCTCCATCCCAGGACCTGAGATCATGACCTGAACCAAAGGCAGAGGCTTTAACCCACTGAGCCACCCAGGCACCCCAATAAATCTTTTTAAAAAGTAAAAATGAGGGATACCTGGGTGGCTCGGTTGGTTAAGCCACTGCCTTCGGCTCAGGTCATGATCCCAGGGTCCTGGGATTGAGTCCCGCATCAGGCTCCTTACTCAGCAGGGAGCCTGCTTCTCTCGCTGCCTCTGCCTGCCTCTCTGCCTGCTTGTGTGTACTCTCTCTCTCTGGCAAATAAATAAAATCTTTAAAAAAAAAAAAAAAGTAAAATAAATAAATAAATAAATAAAAAGTAAAAATGAAAAAAAATTGAATAATAAAATTGAATAAATAAAATAAAATAATAAAAATAAAATCTTTTTTAAAAACATTTTTTAAACATCAAGTAGTTATACCTTTTATAAAAATAAACATTCATTTATTTTTAAAAAATATTTTATTTATTTATTCATTTGAGAGAGAGAGCCCAGAGTGAGAGAGAGCACGAGTCGGGGGAGGGGAGAGGGAGAAGGAGAAGTAGTCTCCCTGCTGATCAGGTAGCCCAATGTAGGGTTCGATCCCCAGGACCTTGGGATCATGACCTGAGCAGAAGGCAGACACTTAACCAAGTGAGCCGCCCAGGCACCCTGGAAGTATCTTTTAAATACCATTACCAGGGGGCGCCTGGGTGGCTCAATCAGTTACGAGGGTGACTTCGGCTCAGATCATAGTCTCGGGGTTCTGGGATCGAGCCTCACATCAGGCTCCCTAGTCAGTAGGGAGTCTGCTTGTCCCTCTGCCCCTCCCCCTGCTCCTCCTCTCTCTCTCTCCCTCTCTCAAGTAAATGAATAAGATCTTAAAAAATAAATAAATAAATGCCATTACCAGGATAATCAATTAAAATTTTAAGTTTTCCAGAGGTCAGAGGTTTTACTTCATAGAATACAGAGTGTAGAACCCAGAACATTTCTGAAGTCTGGATGTCCTAAGAACTGCTTTGTGCAAGCAACGTTTGCAAGGATGTTTATTAAGAGAAAATAGAATGGGCTGGTGCATTTTTACATGTTTGCACACTCAGGCTTTTTGTGAATATTTCAATACACCACTTTACCAGAACTAGCCCTAGGAGGCAGGCAGGCAGCTGTTCCACGAGAGAACACCGCTCCTCCTTCATATCTTCTTGAGATTTCTTTTCACCAGCAGTTAGGGGGTCTGCATTTTCTGGACAAGGCTTTTTTACTTATTTATTTTTATTCTTATTCTTCTTAAGATTTTATTTATTTATTTGACGGAGAGAGAGAGACAGCGTGAGAGGGAACACAAGCAGGGGGAGTGGGAGAGGGAGAAGCTGATTCCCCACTAAACAGGGAGCCCCATGCAGGGCTCGATGCAGGGCTTGATGTAGGGCTTGATCCCAGGACCCTGGGACCTGAGCCGATGGCAGACGCTTATGGCAGACACTTAAGGACTGAGCCACCCAGGCACCCCATTCTTATTTTTTTAAGTAAGCTCTATGCCCAGTGTGGGGCTTGAACTCATGACCCTGAGATCAAGAGTGGCACGCTCTACTGAGCCAGCCAGGTGCCCCAGGGGCCTACACTTTCAAGGCTAAGCCCCAGGGTTCCAATAGCGCAAGAGAATTGAAGCAAGCCTGAGAATCTAATGTTCCTCCAAGGCACTCTGCTTGTCCCCTAAATCCGGGTTTCTCAACCTTGGCACTATTGACATTTTGACTTGGATAATCCTTTACTGTAGGGGCTAGCCAATGCACTGGAATAAACATCCCTGGCCTCTCCCACTAGAAGCCATTAGCACCTTCCCAGTCGTGACAAACTAGTCATGACACCCCCAGACATTCTGAAATGTCCCCTAGAGGGCAAAATCATTCCTGGCTGAGAACTAATGTCCTAAACCCTAACCTTCCTCTAGGGCCCAGGCTTCCGGTGCCAAAAGCCAGGGCTTGTGGGAGACTGCTTCTGCCTCACCCTCCTTCCTCATCCATCCCCTCCCTTCTTCCCCTCGGTCCTGGTTTACAAAACCCGCTCCCTGATAAATAGCCGTGGTAGAAGGGGAGGCAAGAGGAGGGAAAGGGGAGATGAAGGAAAGGGAAGAAAGTCTGTAAATTAATATCTCAAAATATTACCCAGCCTCATAGGAATCCCCAAAGTTTAGTCCCCAGCTCTTCCTTTTCTTCTACCCTGTGGGGTCCCTCCCACCTCCTCACCCCCACAGCCTATTAATTACTATTTCACCACCTAAATGTTTCTCAAATTCTTAAAAATACCAGAAGCTCCCTATGGTTTATAGGATCAGGTCCAGTTGCTTTAGAGTGCTTGAGGCCTTCCAAGATGTGGCTTGCCTGGTTTTGCGGCCTCATCATTCTCTGCCTTGCCCTTGACGTTCCAGCTACCAAAATGATAGTCACATTCCCCAACACACACACACGCACGCACACACACGCACGCGCACACACACTGCTGCCTCTCACCTCCTACCTTTATTCAAGCTGAGCCTTAGTCCATGAAAGCCTCTTGCCACGTGACTCATTTGCTTTACTCCTGCTTACAGCTTAAGACTCCTTCAAACATCTCTTCCAGGAATTTTCCTGTCTCTCCCAAGCCAGGTTAGGTGTTGCTGCGTCTCCCTGATGCTGTGTACTTATCGGTCTCACATGGGGTTTAAATTCATTATCTATCTTCCTGGAAATAGTCGGTGTGCCCTGTAGGGCAGAAACCTTGTATCCTATGATCCCGTTCAGGGTCTGGCATACAGTAGGAGCTTAATACTGGCTGGGTGGAGGGCTGGATCTGTGGATAGACAGACTTGCATCTTCTTGTATATGTGTAGGCACAAGCGTGCTGAATGTGGGATACCAGGAAGGCTTGTGTTCATTGAACTGCCCAATATATTTAAGAACATTTTTTCCCGCTAAAAAATAGTTTTTCTTTTTGAATATTTAATGCAGATACAGATTGGTCAAAACTATATGGAAAGGTAGGTACACAGAGAATACTTCTTCCACTCCTTCCCTTCATCTCTTCCCTTCCCCATCAGGTGGTATTTTTGTATTTATAGTCTCTTGTTTGTCCTCATAGTGTTTATCTTTTTTTTTTTAAGATTTTATTTATTTGACAGACAGAGATCGCAAGTAGGCAGAGAGGCAGGCAGAGAGAGAAGGGGAAGCAGGCTCCCTGCTGAGCAGAGAGCCTGATGAGGGGCTCAATCCCAGGACCCTGAGATCATGACCTGAGCTGAAGGCAGAGGCTTTAACCCACTGAGCCACCCAGGCGCCCCTCATAGTGTGTATCTTGCAATCATAAGTTAATATGTATGTATCTTAGTCCTCCCTTTCCTTTGTCCTCCCTCTGTTTGCACTTGGCTTTTGTCATTTAATGGATCCTGGCAACCTTTCTGTATCAGTACATGGAGATCTTTTTCGTTCCTCTTTTTTGGCTATGCAGTGCTCACTGACTAAATGCTCCGTGGTTTACTCAGCAGTGTCTCATTGTCGGACACTTTAGTGGTCTTCAGCCTTACACAAATGGCATTTTGTACTTGGATCAGAGTTTCCATGGTTCACATTTTAGAAGTGGGATCACTGTTTAAAAGCTAAATGCATCCATGGTTTGCTACATAAGTTCCCATCTTTAGTGGCTGTGCTTGAACTTTTCATACATGGGAGCTTCCTTCCTCTGTCCCCATTCCTCTATGACTTTGTTCCTGGCTGGACAAAGGGCTTGTAAAAATTCCCTGTGTCTCTCTCTCTCTTGCACGGTGAGAGCTAGTCCACTTCTAAACTGGCTACCGAGCTGTATTCTTTAATGGTTTTCTTAGTATTTATTTTCATCTTATTATTAATTGTAGCGTGTGTCACACAAAGCCTGGAGCACCCAAACCCTCTCCTGTCCCCTAACTGTAGGTCAGGGCCATTTTCAGCACCGCACTGGCCAAGGCGGGTGCTCAGCTTGGGAATCAGCTGTGTGTATGAGAGTCTCCACCGTGTGTCTCCGAGAATACACTTGGCTGTTGACATACACAGGAGACAACGAGTGCCTGTGTGTTCTGTGGCACAATTGGGAGGCAGCAGAAGTAACAGCAGTGGATGGCAGATGACTGGCCCTGCCCTGAGAAGAACATTGAGCTCCCCCATCCTTGGGGTGGTGGGAAGGCAGACCCAGGATGTCCCCACGGGCTGGGTCTGATAGACACCATTGGTGCTGGCCCACCTCCCCATCCCCCACCACCCCCAGGACGGCTGGAACATCCTCAACTTCCTTATCATCTTTATCTTGCTCCTGGGGTTGTTCATTAGTGAACTCAATGTCAACGCTATCACCTATACCCTCAGGTGAGCTGGGAACTCTGGGGAAAAGAAGGGCACCTGTCTGGACCCCGGGAGAGAGATGGGGTGGGGATCATCTCTGCCCCTCTGGGCAGGTCAGGGGTAAGTGGGGCGGAGGGGCGCGGGAGGGGCCGAGGGGCACCCCTGAGAGGCTGTGCCGTAGGGCACTTCGTCTGGTGCATGTGTGCATGGCGGTGGAGCCTCTGGCCCGGATCATCCGTGTCATCCTGCAGTCGGTGCCTGACATGGCCAACATCATGACCCTCATCCTTTTCTTCATGCTGGTCAGTGCCCTCCCCCCCCGCCCAGCTGCTCCCTTTCCCTGACCAGAGCCCCCGGGTCACGGGGGACTGGGGGAAGGGGGTAGCTAGAGAAGAAGAGAGGCCTCTGGGCCTGAACCCCTGGGATTCCCTTGGCAGCTTTGCATGGCAGCTGCTTGTCCTGTCTCCAAGGTTGTTGGTTTAAGTTCAAGCATCTTCTTTGGTCTCTCCGGCAGGTGTTTTCCGTGTTTGGGGTCACTCTCTTTGGTGCGTTTCTGCCCATGCATTTCCAGAACATGCAGGTTGCCCTGTATACCCTCTTCATCTGCATCACCCAAGATGGCTGGGTGGATATCTACAATAACTTCCAGTGAGTGTCCACAGGGTATCTCTTACCCCCTCCCCCGACCCACAGTGGGGCAAGGCAGTAGGAGTGGAGCTCCAGGACTTAGGAGGATGATGGCCCAGCAGGAGGGGGCTGCCTGGGCCTTCAAATCAGGGAAAAGGAGCCCCCCTACGACTGGTCTTGGTTTTCTCGAGGCCTTGTCCCCCTTTCAAAGTCCTATGCAGACCCGTTCATGAAGATGGCCCCTGTCACACTAAACAGCTGGGTAGCAAGACCTTGAGCAAGAGAGCAGATATGTGGTTTCAGGACAGCCTTCCAGCCCCCATTCGAGCCCATCAAACTGCCTAGACTCCTGGGAGTCTCATTTCATTCATTCATAGACCCACTGCCCAAGGTCATTTTTGGCCACAGATGGCCACCGGGTTCTGTTCTTTATGTCTTTTCCATTTACATCTCAATCCTACTTGTTTCCCGTCCCCTCCAGGGAGTAGGTCTCTCTGACTGATACCTTTTTTCTCTTGAGAGAGTAGAACAGTTGACAAAGAGCTTCTGCAGGTATTGCCCAGTATGAGGTAGGCAGTGGAAAAATCACAGGGTGAGCAGTAAAGGTAGACTGAAGGCTGGGCTTTTGAGTCCTTGCTCCATCACACTAGCCATGCAACCTTGGACAAGTTACTTCATCTCTCTTCTGAACCTCAGCTTCTTTACCTGGCAGTTGGGAATTATAATAATTAACTATGTCTGAACTGCTGTGATCAATAGAGAAAAGCTGTATAAATCTCTTAGCATAGAGCCTGGCACAGAGTGCATATATACATGTGTGTGTGGCAGGGGGGATGTAATGAAGGAGAGAGAAAGGGAGAAAGACCTTCTTACTTAGGAGATTCATAATAAGGTATTAAGAGTGGATGGGCTTTTTTCCTGCATATCTCACTTCTTCCTTCTGATCCTTCTATAAGGAGCTTGAATTACTTTTGATAATAAGAAAAACATGAATAAAGAGTATAGCCAATAGATTAAACTTGATAATGCTGATGTACAAATCCCCACCTTGGAGGGCTGGCTTGAGGCCTATGCTCTGTCCCTGGCAGGACAGCAGGTGCTCAGCAAAGAGTGGATCCTTTGACAATCAGAGCAGGCACTAGATCTGCCCAACAGCAGTGAGGTAGCAGAAGTCCCAGGAGGTCTTGAGATATTGTCCGCATTTCATAGATGGGGAAATGGAGACTCAAAGGGCCAGGGTGGTGATGAGGCCCCTGCCTGTCATCTCCAGGATGGAGACAAGAGAGTATGCAATGGAGATTGGGGGCGCCATCTACTTTGCCACCTTCATCACCATCGGTGCCTTCATTGGCATCAACCTGTTTGTCGTTGTGGTCACCACCAATCTGGAGCAAATGATGAAGGCAGGAGAGCAGGGACAACTGCATCAGATAAACTTCAGTGAGGTAAGTGGGCTGGGGAGGGCAGAAGGGAGGAGAGGGTGAACGTATAGGTGCTGACTTGAGCATACGTATGTGTGTGTGTGTGCCCATGTGTGCACACACACTTGCACCCTTAAGGGCCTAGAGAAAGTCAAGCCTGAGACGTAGGGACAGCATCCCCCACCCTGTGTGCCATCTGAGGGGTGTGGGTCCCCTAGATGTCTGGTTTCCATGGCAACTCAAAACTGAGTGGCTGGGTAACCTTAGGTCTAAACCTCGACGTCTTCTTCCATAAAATGGGAATAATAATAGTACTGTTCTCATAGGACTATTATGAGAATTATGTGGATAATGAACAGTAGTGGGCACACAGATAGAACTCCTTAATGTTAGCTACAGTGTTATTCATTCATGGGTAGGACTTCCAAAATGTTTGTGGAGTGGAAGGGGAGTGCGTCCCAAATGTTGAGGGCTAGGAACTATGACTTGAGGTAGAGCTTAGAGGTTGGTTAGGTAGGATTTATCAGGAGTGAAATTGGGTGCTAAGTTTTGAAAAGGGATGAGAATTTTCCAAGAGGTGGAGGAGAGGGTAATGCATTTGAAGCTGAGCTCCTACAGCAGGGTGGGAGGGCTAAGATTGGTTGGAGCTGAAATGAGGGGCATTAGAACCCTGGTGTCCTAAGAGACCCATCCTCCCCCAAACCAAGCGGGAAGGGGCTGGGGGAGGGGTGCCGGCTGAGCTGTCTGTCTCCTCTCCATTTCCCTCTTCCCAGGGAGGCAAGCAGGAGCTGGATGGAAATAACGAGCTGCCTGTGGTGCACTGTGTGGTTGCCCGTCTGGAAATGTCTGGCGTCCCGCAGGAGCCACTGTCGGGGAGCCACCTGTCTAACCTCTCAGAAAACACCTATGACAACTTTTGCTTGGTGCTCGAGGCAATACAGGAGAACTTGATGCAGTACAAGGAGATCCGAGATGAGCTCAACACGTAGGGCGGGTACTGGGGGTACCCCGAGTCCCGTGAGTCCGGGCTGAGCAGAGCTTCAGATTTTTCTGGCTTCACGCCCTCACCGTTTTATAAGGCGGACCCTGTGGCCCAGAGAGGTTTCAATGACTGTTGGGAGTCGGTGGGTGGAGGAGCCGGAATCCAGACCTTCCTGTTCCTTCCATCTCACAAGAGCGCACAGCTTGGCTTGGATCTCCATAGGAGCGAAGGGGGAGGGCGGAGCGGAGTGGAGGCCAGGGAAGAGATGGGAGGGCAGCCCCCGCTTCTTCCATTCGCTCAGCCCTCGGAAAGTACTCATCCTTCCGCCCGCAGGATAGTGGAGGAGGTCCGCTCCATCCGCTTCAACCAGGAGCAGGAGGAGGAGCTGTTGCACAAGCACTTGTCACTGAACCTGTCGGTGGTGAGCGGCTCCTCCCTGGACATCCGTGACATGACCTGCCAGCAAGACTTGATCACGGCACTCATCAACAGGGAGAAGGTGCGTGCAGCTTCCCTCTCCTACCCAGCAAGTGCTAGCCCGCCTCGCACCCCCAGGCCAGCCAAGCCTCTGCCCCATGAGCCAAGCTTTCTGTCTGTTTCGAGATCGGATACCCTCCTTGGACCCTTGCATGCCCGTGGCGGCAGCCTCGGCGGATCCCTTCCGTTCCATTCTTTCCCTCTCCAAGAGGCTCTGCCCCAACCCCTCATCAGGCTCCTCCCACTGAGTCACTTAAGTCCCTGACTCCCTCAAACCTACTACTCCTTCTTAGGGTGGTAAGAGCCAACTCCGTTTCTGCCTGCTGGCAGATACCTAGGCTCACTGTGGGCAGAGGACCCCTGGGTTCATGCTAGAGAGCCCCAGAACAGCCTCCTTCAGAGGGAGGAAGCTTCTAGGGAGAAAAAGGCACACACCCATTTTCCTTAGTTTCTTTCTCTGCTTCCCATACCACCTGAGGGGGCTAGAATGACCTGGAGCCTTGTGAATGTCCACAGCTCCCAAGCTTGGACAGGACACTAGGCAGCTAGAGTCAAACATAGGAATGACTTCCCTGGGAAGCCCGGCGGGGTAGCTGGTAAAGCTAGCAGAGGGGAGTGAGGGGGTGTATGCCATGTGAAGGTGGGGGACTGACACAAGCCCCTTGGTTTGCAGGTTCAGGAATCCAACACAAACATACTCCTTAACAAACACAAGAGCAGCCGCTGAGAGGCAGAATGGGAGCCAAGGGGCCTGAACACATACAGCCAGCGGCATTTTCCTGCATCTCTATGTGACTTGGCACAGTCTGTCCTGAGCCCACCTTCTGCCTTACACCTAGGCAAATCCCTGGGGCTGTGAAAGGGGTGGCTTCTCCAGGGCTTGTGTCTGTGAGCCCCAGGTCTGGAGGAATTCAGATGGAGAAGGATGCTGGATGAGAGAAGGAGCCCCACAGCAAAGAATGAGCACGGAAAGGGAGTGATGGCCAAGGCAGCCAAGATTAGTCCTAAGGATGGACATCCCTGGTCCCCTGCTTTAGGCCAGAGCTAGCTGGGGCCCAAGTTGACCTAAGCACCTAGAGGAGAAAGGTGAAGCCAGTGGGGCCGGGCATCTATGTATTGACAATAAAGTTTTGTGTTGGGATCAATATGTCTGACTGGTAGATCTCCAAACTTGGGCCAGTCTTGCCCCTTAAAAGCCTGTTTGTCTGATGGGAGAGTTACTGGCTGCCTTCTAGAGCTTTCCAGTCTAATGGGAGAGAGAATATACCCTGAAATTTTCTGACTTAATGTTAGGGATGTAATCTCCCCTCAGTGTTCTAATTTTTTTTTTTTTTTTTTTTTTTTTTGGCAGGGGAGGGGGTGGGAATCTGGTTCTCATGGTTGGGAGCCCTAGTCTGATGAAGGAGACAGCCCCAAGATAAAGAAGACTGGTCTTCATTCTGGGTGGAGGGGGCTAGTCTGATGAGGTCACACCGACCAGTCATGCAGGTACAGCTTTCCAGAAAAGAGGAGCCCTGGAGCTTGCCGGAAGGTCGCAGAAAGAGTTTGTGGGTCAGATGAATGAGATCTGATGGGATACTTGGGACGTGGGAGGTCTCCTTGGGACCTTCACACTAAAGACTATTGAGAGCCACAGCAAGTTCCTGAGCTAGGAATGCAGGAATCTGAGAAAGCTGCGGTAGTCATAAGCATTAAGAAGAGCTGCCTGGAGGCCTGGATTCTCATCCTTGGGTAAGTCATTGGACCTCATTTTCCCCAGCTGTGCAGTGGGGAGACGGTGAGATTGATCTGCAGCTCTAAAATCAAGTGGCCGGGGCGCCTGGGTGGCTCAGTGGGTTGGGCCGCTGCCTTCGGCTCAGGTCATGATCTCAGGGTCCTGGGATCGAGTCCCGCATCGGGCTCTCTGCTCGGCAGGGAGCCTGCTTCCCTCTCTCTCTCTCTCTCTCTGCCTGCCTCTCTGTCTACTTCTGATCTCTCTCTGTCAAATAAATAAATAAAATCTTTAAAAAAAATAAAAAATAAAAAAAAAAAATAAAATAAAATCAAGTGGCCGGCTCTTAGCCCAAGAGTTGGGAGACCAGTAAGATCATCCATGTCATTGAGACTCAAATTCCCTGGTGTTGTGCTGGGGGGAAGGCTGGAAGGCCCAGAGTTCTGCCCAGCTGGTCAGCAAAGGCTGACAGAGGCCTTGGGAATATTTACCAGTTGGAATGGGCGTCCCCAGAGGCCCACTCATTGCAGCTGGTGGGAAACTTCACCTTCCATCCACCTCTTGTCTGCGTTGATTCCAACCCTGTAAAGTCCCCTGGGGCCAGCTAGGAAGGAGTCTGGACAACTGGGGACAGGGGTGGTAGTATACTCAGGCAGAAGAGAGATGGCACCAGTGCCAGCAGCGCCTCGCTGTCTTGGAGCTGCTGTCTGTTCCCCTGTTTGAGCTCAGTGCTCTCCAGGACCATCAACCAGCAGGGCCATGGGCATCCAGTGACTTTTGTGACTACTGCCATCTCTTACAGAAGGAGACCTTAATCTTCCCGGTGAGCACCCACATTATACCTTTTCCATCTATCCTGCTCTGGGGGCTCTCACAGACCCGAATAGAGGGGAAGAAGATGTCAAGAGAAGAGACAGAAGGTAATGTCCCCAAGAAGATCATATAATGTAAGTATAGCCATCCCCTGCCCAACCCTAAGTTGTCTGAATGGCTTGAGACACCAGTGAATTTGGAGGCAGAAGCATGACAGGATAACCTCCAAGGAACTTCTGGCTTTGCTCATCCATCCTCTTCCAGGATGCTATCTTTGTCTACTCCCTCCATCTTGTCTATCAGCCCAGCTGTCTCTCCCTTGCTGTCTGTCCTTCCCATCTGTTGCCAGGCCAATAGATTGGGTCGTTCCCTCTTAAGATGGAAGAGGCACTTCCTCTTCCATCTTAAGATGGAAGGCCTTGGACCCCTACTGCCCTCCCCTGCCCTACACCAATGAAGAACAATGGCCGCCTCCAAAGCCTCTCTGAGTCCAGATAGGAGTACAGCCCTGGGTCCTGAGCTTCTAGGACAGTATGGGGGAAGATCTTGGAAGGTGGCAGGAAATTGGATGTCTTATTGCCCCCATGAATCTATAACTTTTGCCAGAGAGAAGTATCTTTGGCGAGCACCCAGGAAGCAGATACCGTTCTTGGTGAGAGGAGCAGAGGGGATAATCATTACTAGTAGCAGGCTCTACTTATTGAGCACCTACTATGGGCTAAGCACCATGCTAAGTGCTTTATAGGTATCTTCTCATTAACCCTCATGACCAACAGCGAAGTGGGTACTATTACTATCCCTGTTGTATAGCTGGGGAAACTGAGGCTCATGAACGTGATTCTATCCCAGGTCAGACTTCAGAGGCCAGCCTACACCCCACTCCTTCTCAAAAATACTGCTGTGGATGGGAAAACCTCATTATCATAAAGTTGTCCATTCTTACCACATCTATTATTGTAGCACACTTCCAACCAAAATCCCAACAGGGGTTTTGTAGAACTCGATAAGCAGATTCTAAACTATATGGTAGAACTGAAAGCCAACAATAGCTGAGATTATTTTGAAGAGCAAGATGGGAGACTCACTCTACCAGATACTGAGATTTACATTAAAGTAAGATAATATGGTGTTGGTGCAGTGATAGACAAGTGAACCAAAGGAACAAAAGAGCATGGAAATTGGTCTGGGTATATAATGACATATAGCATGACAAATCAGTGAGGGAAGGATGGACTTTACCATAGCATGGCAGGGACAAGTGGTTAACTACATGAGGGGAAAAAAAAAAACATAAAATCAGATCCAATGGAAACGTCTCTCCCTGCAAATAAAAATCTGTGGCATGGCCTCTATTCATTACAGTCAGGATTTTTGTTGCAAATAGACTCACAGATCACTGGAGTTTAAATATTGAGCCCAAGCCCCTGACTGTTTTGAGGGGGACATGGAAGCATTAAGAGGGTTGGGTCTTCCTCAAGATTACACAGCATTCAGTAATAGAGCCAGCTCTAGAACCTAGGTCCTCTTACTCTTTCCACACATTCTGGCCAGCTCTCCTACCCTGTTGTGACCCCTTAGCTCTGCACAAGGCTAGAATAAAGTGAGGTGTGGAGGGGGCAGGTGCCAGATGGGAGCAGAATTGAAGACAAGGGTTAGTGCCTCTTCAAAGCTAGGTTGTGGGAAGGATGATGAGCCTAACACCTAGGTTGGGTCACCTCCAGTTTTTGGAATTAGTCCTTTGACGACTGTGCCAAGGATGCAATGAGAGAGCGTTGGGTTAAGGACCTATTTCTGCCCCTCGCCCAGGGGAAAGAGGAAGGTTTCCAAGAGAACCAGCTCTTAGCTGATTTGGGACTTTCTCTCTAGAGTGGTTGGCTCAACCAGGAGTATGAAGCTACATTTTTGCAAGGTGGTAGAGTGCGACAGGGAAGACATTGAGCTCTAGAATCTAACAGACCTCGTTTCAAATGCAGTGTCACTACTTCCTGGCTGTGTGACTTTGCACAGTTCTCTTTGCCTGTCTGAACCTCAGTTTCTTCATCATTTCATTATTATAGAAATAATAATCTTTACCTCATGTTGGTTGTGAGGATTCAATGCAACAATACTTGTGCAATGGAACAGCACCTTACTTGGACAAGGTGAAAACAGAATGATGTCAAAACTATCCTGGACGGCTATTGCATTAAATGAAGCACTTGGATTGCAATTAGTGATCACATTACCCCCAAAAATGTATATCTTTAAATATTAGAACCATATTCAATGCAGTAGGAAACTCACATCAAGAAAGTCATCTGGGGGGCACCTGGGTGGCTCAGTGGGTTAAAGCCTCTGCCTTCAGCTCAGGTTGTGATCTCGGGGTCCTGGGATGGAGCCCCATATCGGGCTCTCTGCTCAGTGGGGAGCCTGCTTCCCCCCTCCGCCTGCCTCTCTGCCTACTTGTGATCTCTCTCTCTGTCAAATAAGTAAAATCTTAAAAAAAAAAAAAAAGAAAAGAAAGTCATCTGGATACTGAAGACCAAATGCAATTGCAGATTTCCATCTTTTGCTGACTCTGTCTCTAGAGTAGTCATTGAACAGGAGACTTAATTGCCAGCACTGGTGAAATTCATCTGTAAGAGGAATGAAGATCATGCATCAGTTAAGATCTATTAGCACAGGGCTGGCACATAAATGAAAGCAAGTCAGCAATAGTGTAGTTGGTGTTGATATGATTTTTATTGACTCTTCAAATAAAGATACTTCATCAACTGAGAACATTTGAAAAGAACTCTGAATTGGTGGAGGGAACAGGTGTATTGGTTTCTTTTTGTTTGTTTACAGGCACTATTACAACTCAGGGAGTTGAATCAAATACAGCAGACTCCACAAAAATCTCTGTGCCTAAGGGACCTACAGCATGCTCACTGAAACCTTGGCTCTCTCCAACAATGGGAGAGACAACAGCTCTGCAGTTCCCCTTAACCTCTCACCAACAACCAGGAGGACAGCAATGTCAGAGTCCAGAAGAGTACACCACTAGCTGCTACTCCCATTTTACCACAAGCCAACAGCTCTGCTGGGTCCACTGAGCAGACTACCCCAATACTTGAGACTCCAAATGAGAGATCCAGAAGCACAGCCTCATCTAGAACAGCTACTTCAGCTAAGCACTAAAACAGAATCAGAGAGCTCCAATCAGAGCCCCATTAGCATCAAGC